GTATTCTGTGCAAATTTGTAATTTAATTATATTTGTAATGTTTAAGAGAAATTCATAACGAAATTAATCAAATGTTGCTGCCAAAAAAAAATTGGGCTTTGAATTTTGAGTTCATAACTTAACAGACTTAGCCCTCTAAAAATCATAAATGGAGTGTATACATGTACTATACCGATATGTATCTATTATATAATCAGATTGTGGAGGACCTAAGTCCTTTAATTTATAAACCAAAAAGTACATGGCCTGTTTTCTTTTGGTAGCACATATATGTGCTTGTATAGATGTATCAATCAGAATGCCTTTAACAGTATCGATACTTGTAGAGCTAAAATATTATTTATTTATACACTGTACTTATTTGATGCTAATAATTAGAGAAATATTTGATTTTCTTTATATTGTATTTACTCCCTATAAATGCTGTGCTGGAAAATTCAGAATATATCCTCCATTAACATATTGTACAACTAATTGTATTACCTGAAAATAATATTCATGCACATCCTGAAATAACAGGCGGCATAGTGATTGGACCCGTCAAAAAAAAATGCCACCCGGGCCACCCGCGGGTGGACCCATAAGCCACTAGGTAGAACCTGTTGGGTTAAAAAAAGAAGCAACCTGTTATGAGCCACCTGGGTGAAACTAGATATACAAAATATAATTGGTCAATCTTTATTAAATAAATGCATAGGATAGTGAATTTTTGCCTTTTCATGTTGAACCTTTGGCATATTCGATTTTTTAAGCTAACGATCTGATTTCGCATACTTTGTACAAAAGATCATCACATAATTGACATACTTTTTCAATTATTGTTTATAAGTCACCCATCGGATGGCTCACCCGCTTCCACTTGGGACCAATCACTACTTGCAACAAGAGTCTTGCATAGATGAGTTTGTATCAGACATGACTTTATAATAAAATATTTATATATACATACGTACATACGTATACTTAAATAACAAAGCATAATTTATTTTGTTGAATTAAATTTATTTCAATGAGTTCAATATCAGATATACCAGCAATAAATTCTTTTATTATCGCATTAGTATGCCTTTTTGCTTTCTATTTTTGCTTTTACCGCTTTTATAGAAATGGAGTCAAAGCAGCCTTTTCTTTCTTATCGACATTATTTATTGTTGCGTTTGTTATCTATAATTTATTACTCTTTTTGATTATACCTTATGTTTCTGACAACGAGGTAGAAAAATTAAGAGACTAAATCTTTTATTTTCCAATATATAATAAAGATACAAAAAGATTTGAATGTAATGTAGTTTAGACTATTCAGAAATCCAATCTGAATCTAGTCATACTACCATAGTTGATCAAATCTCAGAGTTTGGTACTATTGCAATATTACTTTTTAACATTGCTGTTTATGGTGTAACTTCTCAATTAAGTTTTATACTTGTATTGTTGATGATTTGGTAATTCTTACATGTACTAAATTTGTTTTTTATTTCATTTATGATTGTGAAAACCCTAGCCATATTAAATTAATTTTGTCATATGTTGGATAGTAAATGCTTTTCATATTATGACTGTATTTTCTTTCAAATGTCTAAGAATCAAAAAATTATTTTCTCACTGTCCTGAAAAATACTATCGATTTAGTATTATTAAAAAGTTTGTTGTGTTAGTTTGTCTTATTAATTCACTTATAATGATTATTTGTAAAGTGTTGCAATTCCTTAGTAGAATTCACCATCTTAATTTAACTTATTTGTTTAATTCAGCACATTTAGATGCAATTATTAATTTACAACTTTTAAACTTTGTTACTGATATTCTTTACTTTATATTATCCTTCCATTTGATTGAAACTTGTTTTATAAATAAAATTATTTCCAAAAAAAATTTCTTTTTTGTCATTTTCATTTCTATAATAGAATATTTTTTTGAATGTAATGTATATTGTACCCCTAAAAAAGTTGATTTATTTTATTTCTTCATTCTTTCAACTGTTATAACTCGTTCAATTTCATTATTTTTTTCTCATTATAAAGATATCAAAGTAATAGAAATTTTAAAACATGGGTTTAGATTTGAGAAAGCAAACAATGGAGAAATATCTTTTTACAGAGATCCATATAAATTTGTTTTCTAGCAGTTCTTTCTGAAGAACACACATCTAGATTATTAGGTCAACAAAGGCTTTATCTAAATGTTGATTTAGAAGATAATAAGAGCAGTTTTATTAAAAATTTTCAAAAGTCCTATCTGAAGTTTTATTTCGTATTTTATCTGAAAAAGCAGTGTTTTACAAAGTTAAAGAAACTATTTGATCATATGAAGTGTAATTTGAAGGAGCCAGATGAACGGAATGATATATTTGGAAACATTTACCAAGAACTTCAGGAATATCCTAATGAAGATGTAGATAAAAATTTTATAAATACATCCAAATTATCAAAGGTGGTGCAAAAATATTGATAAAGATATTATAAATATCTCAGGCCTAAGAAGAGGTTTCTTTGCTAAGAAACATATTAAATATGCAATTATTTATATGAATATTCTTGAGACAGGAATATTTTAATATTTTGCTTATTCACATCGAACAAATGAAGAAAAAACAGAAAATGGCAGTAAAGACAGCAAAAAAAAGTGAGAAAATAGAAATTTATATTAAAGACAGCATAACAATTGAAAAAAAGAAGGCAGTAAAGACTGTAAAACAAATAAAAATAGCGACGAAAGCAACAAAACAAATCTAGAAATGTATTGGCTTGTAATTCCTAATAGCTACGAATTTAATAATGATGTTTTATATAACTGTAAAAAAAAGAAAGAAAACATTGATATTGAGCAAGGATGATAAAGATATTAAAAATATTATTGATGATATTTGATGAAATTAGAAATAGTTTTAAGAATGGTGATAATGCGGACATTAAAGGCTCTATAAATGGTGATGATGATATTAATGAGAATATTAAAAAGATTATTGTTGATCTAGATATTATTCATAATGAAAATATTGAAATTTTTGATATTACTTATGATGAAAATAATCTCGTTAATTTAGGTATTATTAATGAAAATTATAAAAAGATTCTTGATAATAATCTTATTGATGAAATTATTAAAATCATTGTTAAATTTATTCTATTTGTTATAAAAATTAAACGATTGGAGACTATGCTAAATCTTAGAATCAAAATATAAAAAAAAGGAAATCTAATTAGAGATAATAATTTTAAATCATATCACGGTGCTCAATGCCACATAATTTATTTAGTTAATATTTAGGACTAGGACCAAAATCAGATACATAATCGCTTTTTAAATTTTAATCTGCACACAAGAATAATATAATCACGAGATTACAAGATTTTCGAAGAAATAATCGAAGTTTTTTTTTTATTATTATTATATTTATTCAAATTATTAATTATCACTACAAGATATAAGTCAAATTACACTCAATTCAGATGTATAGAATGCATTTTCATTCAAATTCAAATTTTTTAAGCTATTAATAAAAGGTACTTTGTTACGTCCACTACAAGCTTTTTTGCTTGTTCAAAATCTTTAATGTCATCTACTAATAGGTTTAAAGTTCGATTCAATACTTTCGAAACCATTTTTTATGGTTTGGAAAATTATTTGATTTTTCAAGCAATCAAGAGGCTAAAACATAAAATTAATAAATAAATTTATTTAAACATGGAAATATAATAAAAAATTTTTATACCTCGATCCTTCATTATCTATATATTGGTTTCTGAATTTACCAGATCGATCATTAAATTAACTTGTGTGTAATTGATTAAGGTTGACATTGGAATATTTTCCCATAAAGTTTCTTGAGCTTCCGTAATGTGAGAGGATATTGGGAATTGTATTGTATCTAAATTAATATTAGATTTAAAAATTATAAACCATAATATAATGACAATGAACTTGCAAAAGCTTCATTCATGCTATTTACTTTTATTCGTTAACTGTTTGCAAAATATCTACAACTATTTCAAGATTCATATACATATTGCTTTCTCTCAACATCCATAAGTTTTTCATAAACTATATATTTCAGGCTCTTTGGATTTTATAGCATTTTCTTTTGCTTGCGAATATCATTTAAAATTTGATCCCCACGTTTCTATTTTATGCTTTCATTTACACAGGTTGTGCACTTAAACATGACTTATTATTATTATTCTTACATATGTTATTAATCAAATGTTGTAATTATTGTATTACAGTAATTATTGTATTACAGTAATCATTAATTTTAATATCGGCAATAAATTTAAGCTCCGTTATACGTAACTGATTTTGGTGGCGATAATAGGTGGGCCGACTAGGATTATATAAATAGGACAATATTATATATTGGAGTTTAAACGTTGGGATTAGAAATAAAGTTAGTAATAAGTTTTTTAGGGTGCTGAACATTTTGCTTAAGACATCAAGCATTAATTACACAACTAGTTTTTGAGATATAGCGATACTTTAGAGTAATTTAGGCCGATGATCTTCAAAATTCTTAATCTTGGCTGGAAACTAATTTTTTTAATTTTTTAGTTCCAAAAAAAGGAAATTTTTTTCACTTAATGAACGGCTACGGCTTTATTAGTAGAATTTTGCGCAATTTCGACCTAATTCTTTTTTTGTTACTGTACATACGTACCCAATTTATTGTAAATGTTACAATATGCGCGGCAACATGCATCTCAATGAACATTGCACAACGTA